GCCTAGATTCTTAGAAGCAGAATCAACTCTTCTGAGTAGCTGCTAAGGAAAGAGTACTGTTGTAGGGCTAATTCCCCAGTAATTTGGTTGACATTGGGTTGCATTTTCTTTTTTTTTTTTTTTTTTTGAGACGGAGTCTCGCTCTGTCACCCCAGGCTGGAGTGCAGTGGCCGGATCTCAGCTCACTGCAAGCTGCCTCTGGGTTTCACAACATTCTCCCTGCCTCAGCCTCCCCGAGTAGCTGGGACTACAGACCGCCCGCCCACCCTCGGCCCCCGGCTAGTTTTTTTTTGTATTTTAGTAGAGAACCGGTTTTCAACGGGTTAGCCAGGATGCGGTCGTCGCTCTCCTGAGCTCGGTGATCCACCTGTCTCGGCCTCCCCAGAGTGCCTGGGATTACAGGCTTGAGCCACCATGCCCGCGGGCCTGGGTTGCATTTTTAACATAACTTTTTTTCTACACTTGCATTCAAGTTCCTGTCTTCCCTTCTCATTCAAGAAACATTTATTATGCTCTGTGTTGCTAGGCCACTAAGATGCGTGCCTAAAACAACGTGGTGAACGCCCGTGCAGTGAGCTGAGATCCGGCCAGCTGCACTCCAGCCTCGGGCGACAGAGCCAGACTCAATCTCAAACCACAAACAAACAAACAAACAAAAACATCATGTTGAACACTTAGTTGTTTGAAAAAGCTAAATTTTCAATAGTATTATAAATTGTGGTACATCCATAAAATGGAGTATTATACATCTGTTGAAAACTATGTCTAGAGGTAGAGAAAGCCTTTTGAGGAGGCCAGAAACAAATAAAATCATAAATTTGACTATATCAAAATTTAAAACTTCTCTATGATAAAAGTTAAAAGATAGGCAACAGAATAGGAGAAAGTGATTTCCAACATATATATTAACTTATAGTCAGAATATGTGAATAACTATAAATCAATTCTCCCCAAAATGACAGAAATATGAATTGCCAAACAAACAAGACAATAGCATGGCCAAAAAATGTTTGAAAAGATGTTCAGCTTGACCAGCGTTAGGGAAATGCAACTTGAGAAAACATTTTTATCTCCAAAGATTTACAGATATTAAAACTCTTGATCTGGCACTTTCACATCTTAAAATCTACCTCTGAGAAATACTTGCACGTGTGCACAAAAGTGCATGTGGGAAGATTTCATTATATTCATTGTTTCTAATAGCACAAAATTAGAAATAACCTGTATGTCCATTAATAGGAAATATATGAATAGATTATGGTATGCCCATACTACGTATGCAGAAATTTCTAAGACTTGATAAGGAGAAAAGCAAGTTGTAGGGAGCATATACTATAGTGATTTTCAGCCTCATCAGACTGAATGCCCCATTTTATAACAAATATTTATATTTTATAACAAACGTTTATATTTGTATATTTATAACAAATATTTTGTAATGTCTCCACTTCAATGAAGTTTGTAGATAATTGCATATGATTCCACACCATTTCAACCAAAATTAATATGCCATAAATGTGATAGAGGAAATAAAAGGAGTTTGTAGTAAAATTTTAAGTGTTTTAATACATAAATGCTCAGATTCTACCACACTAGAAGACATACTGAAGTAATCAAGGGTTCACTCCCATATACATAGTCGCCATAGGTATAAAGACTAGAAATGCTAACTGATATGAATATGTTGCTTTGGTGACTTGAATACCATTGCTATTGGCAATATTGTTCTCCAAAATGGTGAACAACCTTTGAAAATTTTCCAAATAAAGTTTAGTCTTCCCTTGATTTACACAGTGGTGGAATTCCTTAAATTTTCTGTATATATTAAAGTAATATAAAACAGAGTTAGGCTCTAGGCTCAAATGATTATAAACGTGCTTCACCTACATCACTGGCTGGAGAGTCATTTGGAAGTCAGGAGACATAGGACAATTAAGGTACTGCCCTGTACCTTTCAGGATGTCTCTGATCTTCGACTCCTCACCCATTAAATGCCAATAATGGCCTCTAACTGTGATAACCAAAAATGCTCCCACTTATTTCCTAATTGCTCCCTGGGGGGCAGTACCATCCCTGCTGAGGACCACTATTCTAGACTGTTTCAAGGTTTTTAGCCCCTTCAGAGCTCACCATTCTCCCACACTGGCAAGGTTGGCAAAGTTCCTAATTTCATTGGCCTTTCCTTATCTTATTGTAGGCTCATCAAGCCACTTAAAAGGGAGGCCTTAAAAATATATTAGTAGCCAGGTATGGTGGCACATGCCTGTAATCCCAGCACTTTGGGAGGATAAGATGGGAGAATCACTTGAGGCCAGTTCAAGACCAGCTTGGGCAATATGGCAAGACCCTGTCTCTAGCAGGGAGGGAAAAAAAAAAAAAAAAAAAGCCAGGTGTTGTGCGCAGTTGACCCAGAAGACGTTTAAATCAATATATTTTCTATGCTTTTTTTTTTTTTTTTTTGAGACAGTCTTGCTCTGTCACCCAGGCTGGAGTGCAGTGGCACAATCTTGGCTCGCTGCAACTTCCACCTCCCAGGTTCAGGCAATTCTCGTGCCTCAGCCTCCTGAGTAGCTGGGATTACAGGCAGGTAACACCATGCCCCGCTAATTTTTTTTATTTTTAGTAGAGATGGGGTCTGGCCATGTTGGCCAGGCTTGTGTTGAACTCCTGGCCTCAAATGATCTGCCCATCTCAGTCTCCTGAAGTGCTGGGATTACAGGCATGAGCCACTGCGCCTGTATGCATATTTCTTATATGTAGTTGAAATCATGCTATATAGTGTTTCACCAGATATTTTACATTTTCATAGGTTTTTAAGAAATGCTTGTAAATATTGTTAGTGACCACATAATATTCTGTGACACAATCACACCATAATATATTTTCTCAATCCCTCTTTTAAGGTATTTGTTTCCAGGTTTTTGTTATTACAACTTCGTGATTAACTTCTTTGTATATGGAGCTTTTTAAAAGTTTTAAATGCTTTCCTTAACACAGCTTAGAGTCATTGATTGATCTGCGTTGTGAAAATTAGGAAACCAGATGCTCCCATGTTTTCAAGGACAGCCTTTCTTAAGGAAGTCAGGTAGATATTAATGGGTTTTATGTGAAATGGAGTAACTGGGTTAAATATAATTGAAAAAGACAAGAAAACTGGTATCTTTACAATTTCTTAGAGCCTTGACTATACTAATGGACATAATCTCCAAGAAGGGGATTTTCAAAATTTACAGTTTTTTCAAAATTATTTGATTTTAGAATATTCAGTAAACATTTTGTTCAGTGGAACAAACTTTGAGAAACATTTTCTGGAATTATGGGATATTATAATTAGAATGGACTTCAGGTATCAGAGGTATGCTAGACCTTAAAGCTCTTTCCAAAAATGAAGACAAGTCAAAAGATGATTCTTCCTTCCATTCCAAAAAAAAAAAAAGAGCTTTATGTCCAATTTACAGAAAGCAGGGTGGGACATCTTGAAGATATAATATATAGAAAGTAGCTGCTGCTTCTCTCAGAAATTACTGGGATAGAGTTACGGGTCTAGGAAGCTGGAATGTCAAAACACAAGGGCAGCCACTTTGCCCAGGCAACTGGCATGAAGGGAAGAAGTGAAAAGGGAAAGTGTGATTGTAAACCTCTCTAAAGTTTCCAAACAGGGAATCCAGGCAATATTGGATCTCAGACATGGGTCATAGGATCTGGTGCTTTTATCCCTAAAATTTTTAGAGGAAAATAACGAGATATTTTTAAGAGTTTCTTCTTTTCTTACTTCCAAACTACAGTATGTGGGCAACAGTGACAAGGAGAGGAAGAGAGGAGAAACTCAACCAACTCGAGCAGGGATAAGGTTTCCCTTGTTCAGCTTTTCAGTGTCTGCTGGAATGTGACGGTAAGTTGGGAACAGGGTAAATGGGTGAGGCTTTTTTTATATCAGAAAGTTTTCTGAGTAACTGATATCTGGCAAATATTTGGGGATTAGAATTCTAAAAGAATACAAACTAGACTTCTCTTCTGCTCTTAATTTTAGTTATACTTGTACCAGGTAGATTTGAGGTGAGGTCCAGTTACCTGAAAAGCGTAGCAGGTGCGAGTTTCTTAAAGGTGTTCTCCTGTGCAAAGGGTACCTGTTTACCTGGTCCACCAAACTGCCCCAATACAACCAAAGGCTGTGACTGTAAGGATAGAAGCAAATGGAGCCACAGGTTGGAGCCACAGGTTGGAGCCACGTGGTGCTGTGTGGCACACCCACTGTTAGTTAGCTCCCACTGTCTGATGCAGTTGTTTCCCCAAAGACTCAGTCGAATTTGTTCTATAAGAAGAGCTTTGTGTCCCGTATATTCAAAGGACCCTGGTTTTTGCTTTGCTTAGGACAAATCCAGTCAGAATTCAGCTGAGCCTTTTGCATGCTCAAAGCACTCATGTGGTGAGTTCCTCAGCTCCTCACTGACATTTTGAATACTTTCTTTCTGACTCACTCACTGTGCTGGTGGATTCTGCTCTTCCTGTCTCTTCCCCAGCTGCAATACAGAAACTAGACTCTGTTGTCTACTCTTTCATTTCCTATTAGAAATATAAAGGGATAAAAATAAGAAGACCTTTTAGTCCTGGACTATCTGGTATTGGCCCCTAAAATGAACCTCCAAATACTCCTTTTCATGGGTAAGTGGATGCTCCCCAGCCTGCTGGAGCAGAACCTTCCTGGCTCAGCTACCCTGAGATATCAGGAGGAAATCTAGCTGGTGTGATTTTTCTCTTTTTTTTTTTTTTTTTTTTTTTTTTTTGAGATAGTCTGGCTCTGTCCCTCAGGCTGGAGTGCAGTGGCATGATATTGGCTCACTGCAACCTTTGGCCCGCAGGTTCAAGTGATTCTCCTACTTCAGCCTCCCGAATAGCTGGGATGACAGGTGCCTGCCACCATGCTCGGCTAATTTTTGTGTTTTTAGTGAAGACAGGGTTTCACCATGTTGGCCGGGCTGGTCTCGAACTCCTGACCTCAAGTGATCCACCCGCCTCGGCCTCCCAAAGTGCTGGGATTGCAGGCATCGGCCTGTGCCTGGCCGATTTTTCTTTTTCTTTCTTTTTTTTTTTTTTGAGACGGAGTCTCGCTCTGTCACCCAGGCTGTAGTGCAGTGGTGCCATCTCGGCTCACTGCAAGCTCCGCCTCCCGGGTTCCCGCCATTCTCCTGGCTCAGCCTCCCGAGTAGCTGGGACTACAGGCGCCCGCAACCGTGTCCGGCTAATTTTTTGTATTTTTTTTAGTAGACACGGGGTTTCACCGTGGTCTCGATCTCCTGACCTTGTGATCCGCCCGCCTCGGCCTCCCAAAGTGCTGGGATTACAGGCGTGAGCCACCGCGCCCAGCTGCCTGGCCAATTTTTCAATCCATAGATTAATATATTCAAGAAATATTGCATGTCTTTGTTTTCTGTAAATTTATTTCTGTTACCAAGATCCCCACCACCATCTGCCTTGTTGGTGGGCTTCTCACAAATCCTAAGATTATGCAAAGGTATCCAGATTTCATTTGGCACCAAGATGCTGAGAAGGTTCTTTTGGTCATCAGACTGCTTCTGAAACAGCCACTATCCAGTCCTGGCAGTTCCATCAAGTCTAAAAGCTTGTTTCCTTGGGACCCCAGAATGGTAGGGCTTAGAACCAGGGTGTCAGAGATCCAACTCTGTGTACCATATTGCTCCTTAGAGCTGGGGAGTAGGACCCCAAAGCCCTCCTTATCCTTGCGAATCTCACAATTCCTTCCTTAAACTTCCAGATTCTGCCCTCTCAGCTGTGCTGTTGGTCTGCATCACCTCCATCTCTTAAGCATCTACCCTAATCCAAATCTCAGGATTTGGGTTTACACAAAAGGTAATAGAAAGCCTTTGCCTTCATGTTAACTTGGCTTTCCTTGCCCAGCACTTGGTTGCTTGCTTGAAAATCATGTATGTATATGTATAAAATGTAGAAGCCCAATTCAAATTAATAATGTAAAAAATTTTTCTGTTATACAGATTACCTCACTGTCAGGTAGGAAATGAAACATACGGTATTCTTCCTGGCCTTTGCCTTGAGAGTCTTCTGGAGCCTGAAGAGGGTGGGGCAGACAACCATGGACTGCTAGAGAATAAACTTTTGAAGCTTCCAAAATGGATTAGAAAGAAGGGGTTCTGTCAAAGGGAAAGGGTCTATACAGATGTGATCAGCAGTTTGATTAGTTTAGATGTGTGATTTAGTAGCCAACATAAGAAACTTGTGTAATTTTTAGTAATTGGAATTTATTATAAATAATAAAACAGGGTATTAATTGAGTTATTAATGTTATAGTATCTTTGGGGTGTCACTTTTCTGGCCAGAAACCTCTGTGGCCAAGTGGCACCTCTGCCCAAGTTTTGCTTGGGCCCACTGGGTTCATTCCACCCACCTGGCCTGGAAGGCTGCACTTGGCTCATGCTACTGGCCTGGTTCCCATGCCTGCCAAGGGAGATTGCGTGGAGTGACAAGGGGCATGTGGGGAAGTGTGGGGTCTGGCTGTTGTTCAGTCAGACGTGCCAGCTGCTGCAGGGGGTGGTCAGCTTCAGTTACCAGCATAGGTGCCAGTTCTCTGCCAGGCTGCAGCTGGACCAGTCACACTCCAAGCAGCTTCTACAGCTGGCACCAGCGAAAAGGTGGCGCCCAGAAACTTGGAGATGCCAGGAACCGTAGGGCCCCAAAGAGGGAGTCACAGCCCTGGCTCGGAGAGCTCCCAGATCTGGGCTTCCCAAAGGGTCGCAGCTCTTCTTTTCTTCTCTTTGTCCACAACATGGTGAGCAAGGGGCATGTCTCAGCCCTGTTTGTGTTGCAGGTCTTTTAGCCTCATTTGGTGGGTCCAGAGTTATTGAATGAGGTACACAGACAAGTAGAGGGTGAGCAATGAGAATGAGGTACACAGACAAGTGTGGTGAGCAAGACAAAGAGCAGCTATTGAGCGACAATAGCTCAGAGGAGGCCTTGGAGTGGGTAGCTCCTATCTGCAGGCAGGTCTTCCTGTCATCTCTGCAGCTCTCAGCAGAGAGGAGGCCCTGGAGTGGGTAGGTCTTCACTGCAGCTAGTTGTCCTGATGTCTGCTGCTCTCAGCAGAGAGGAGGTCCTGGAGTGGGTAGCTACTCCCTGCAGCTGGTCGTCCCAACATCTGCTTAGCTCTGGCTGAGCCCAGGGCTTTTATGGGCCTCAGAGGGGAAGAAATGCGTATCGATTGGTCCATATGTGGCCATGGGCAGGCCCAGAAAATGCACCACAAGTTCTCACTCCAGTCCGTGGGACTGGCATCCTGACCCTCAGCTTTCAAGCCCTCCCTGGCCTGCAGGTGGGACCTCACCAGGGACTCATCCCCTTCTACTCAGGAATCTGTCTGCCTCCTGCCATTCATGGTACCCAGGCTATAGGTGCCAAGCCAAGCTGCTCTCAGCTCCCCTCGGTTTCCTTCTATGCTCATTGGTGCCCAAAATCTGGAGGGGGCTGAGGAGGTAGGGGGCTGGTGAGTCAGCACTGCCCAACTTTGCTCTGAGATCAGAGAAGGCAGGGAGAAGCTAGGCAGTAGGAACAGGCATTTCCATGCCTGCAAGGGCAAGGGAGGCCTTCCTGGGCCCCCAACAATGCAGGGATGCCAGGGTCTGCAGCCATGGCTTGGGCGGCTGCAGCAGCATCCAGGGAGCTCCTGCCTCAACTTGGAAGGGGCGGGTCTCCCGCTTATCCCTGGCTTTTGCCTTCTCCATGGAGCATGCAGCCCTGGCCATGCTTAGTTGTTGCAGCCAGCGTGATGGCAGCAGCTGTTCCAGATGGCCTGCTGCCGCCATCATTAATATGTAGCTATTAAGCACAGTTGGTGAATCACTTTTTTGTCTTTTAAATTGTTTTGTGATAATTTAATTTTTATGACATATAAAAATTATATATAAGGTTTACAACTGAATTTTTGTGAAACATTGTGAAATGACCATCACATTCCAACTAATTAACATATCTATTACCTGTATATAGTTACCATTTTTATACCCTTTGACCAACATCCTCCATTTCCCCCTCTTCCCAGCCCCTGGCATCCACAATCCTACTTTCTGTTTTTATAGTTTGACTATTTTAGATTTGACATAAAAGGGAGATCATGCAGTATTTCTCTTTCTGTGTCTTGCCTATTTTGTTTAACATAACTTGCTCCAGCTTCATCCATTTTGTTACAAAGGGCAGGATTTTCTTTTTTAAAGGCTGAATAATATTCCATTTTGTATGTGTGTATACTCATATTTTCGTTATCTGTTCATCCATTGAAGGACATTTAGGTTGTTTCCATGTCTTGACTATTGTAGCAAAATGCTACAGTGAACATGGGAATACAGATATCCCTTTACTATCCTGTAGGATTGTTTGATCATATGTTCAATTTTTTTTTTTTTTTTTTTTTGAGACCGAGTCTCGCTTTGTTGACCAGGCTGGAGTGCGGTGGCGCGATCTCAGTTCACTGCAAGCTCCGCCTCCTGGGTTCACGCCATTCTCCTGCCTCAGCCTCCAGAGTAGCTGGGACCACAGGTGCCCGCCACCACACCCAGGTAATTTTTTTTTTAGTAGAGATGGGGTTTCACCATGTTAGCCAGGATGGTCTAGATCTCTTGACCTCGTCATCCGCCCACCTTGGCCTCCCAAAGTGCTGGGATTACAGGCATGAGCCACCATGCCCGGCCATATATTCTATTTTTAATTTTTTGGGAACTGTCCTACTTTTTCCATGATGGCTGTTTGAATTTACATTCCTAACAGCAGTGTACAAGGGTTCTCTTTTCTCCACATCCTTGACAACATTTGTTATATTTTATCTTTCTGATAATAGCCTGAAAGGTGTGAAGTGATATCTCATTATGGTTTTGATCTGCATTTACCTGATGACTACAAATGTTGAACACATTTTCATATGCTTATTGGCCATCTGAATTTCCTTTTTTGAGAAGTATCTATTTTGGTTCTTTGCCCATTTTTAAATCCAGTTATTTGTATTTTTAGCATTGAGTTGTATGAGTTCCTTATATATTTTGGATATTAATCCCTTATCAGATACATAGTTTCCAAGCATTATTTTCCCATTCTGTAGGTTACCTTTTCATTTTTTGGATTATTTCTTCTGCTCTGCAGAAGCTTTTTAGTTTGATGTAATCCCACTTGTCTATTTTTCTTTCATTGTCCGTGCTTTTGGTGTCATATTGAGAAAATTATTGTAAGACCATGTCAAGAAGGTTTTCCCAATGTTTTCTTCCAGGAATTTTGCAGTTTCAAGTTCTACATTTAAGACTTTCATCTATTTTGAGTTGATTGTTCTGTGGTATGAGATAGGGGTCAGATTTCTTTTGTGTGTGTGTGTGTGTGTGTGTGTGTGTAGATATCCAGGTTTTCCAGTACTGTTTATTGAACAGATTATCCTTTCCCGATTGTGTGTTCTTAGCACCTTTGTCAAAGTAAGTTGTTCATTAATATGTGAGTTTCTTTCTGGGTTCTCTGTTCTGTTCCATTTTGTCTGTGTCTGTTTTTATGCCAGCACCATACTATTTTGGTGATAGCTTTGTAAGATAGATAATTCGAAGTCAGGAGGTGTGATGTCTCCAGCTTTCGGTTCTTGTTCAAAATTTCTTTGGCTATTCAGGGTTTTTTGTAGTTCCATATGAATTTAGGATTTTTGTAAAAAGTGCAACTGGGATTTTGATAGCGATTGCGTTGAATCTGTAGATTGCTTTAGGTAGTATGAACACTTTGACAATATTAATTCTTCCAATCTGTGAACATGAGATATCTTTCCACTTACTTGTGTTTTTATTCCATTTATTTGTGTCATTTATTTTGCCGAGTCCCATAAATTCCTAAGAATTTTAAAATTTTTGTTGCTAAAGTAAATGAGATTGCATTCTTAATTTCCCTTTCAGATAGTTCATTTTTGGTGTATAGAGATGCTATGGAGTTTTATGTTGATTCTGTGTCCTGAAACTTTACTGAATTCATTTATTAGTTCTATCAGTTTTGGGGGGAGGTGCGTGAGGGGGGGAGAGAGACAGAGTGTGTGTGTGTGTGTGTGTGTGTGTGAGAGTGTGTGTGTAGTCTTTTGAATTTTCTATGTATGTGATCATGGCAGGCAAAAATAATCTTTCTTTTTTCTTTTTGACTTGGAAGCCTCTCTTTTTCTTGCCTGATTGCCCTGGCTATGACTTCCAGTACTATGTTGATTAACAGTGATTAGAGTGAGCATCCTTTCCTTGTTCTGGGTCTTAGAGGAAAAGCTTTCAGTCTTTGACCATTGAGCATGATGTTAGTTGTGGGCCTGTCATAAATTACCTTTATTGCATTGAGGTAAGTTTCTTCCATACTTGTTTTGTTGAGTCTTTATCATGAAAGGATGTTGACTTTTGTCAAATGCTTTTTCTAGGTCTATTGATGTGATCATCTGTTTTTTGTGTTTCATTCCTCTTATTGTGATTTATCACATTGGCTGATTTTCATATGTTAACTGACCTTGTATCCTATGGATAAATCCCACTGTATCATGTTGTATAATCACTTTAATACGCTGTTGAATTTGGTTTGCTAGTGTTTTATTAAGGATTTTTGCATTTATGTTCATCAGGGATATTGCCTGGTAATTTTTTTTTTTTTTTTTTTTTTGAGACGGAGTCTCGCTCTGTCGCCCAGGCTGGAGTGCAGTGGCCGGATCTCAGCTCACTGCAAGCTCCGCCTCCTGGGTTCACACCATTCTCCTGCCTCAGACTCCCGAGTAGCTGGGACTACAGGTGCCCACCACCTCGCCCGGTTAGTTTTTTGTATTTTTTAGTAGAGACGGGATTTCACCATGTTAGCCAGGATGGTCTCTATCTCCTGACCTTGTGATCCGCCCGTCTTGGCCTCCCAAAGTGCTGGAATTACAGGCTTGAGCCACCGTGCCCGGCCTGCCTGGTAATTTTCTTATGTTATCTTTAGCTTTGGAATCAGGGTGATGCTGACTTTACAAAATGAGTTTGGGAGTGCATTCTCTTTTTTAATTTTTGGAAGAGTTTAAGAAGGGCTAGTGTTCTTTGAATGTTTGGTAGAATTATCCTATGAAGCCATCCAGTCCTGGGCATTTCTTTGTTGAATTTTTTTTTTTTTTCAAGATAGGGTCTCACTCTGTTGCCTAGGCTGCAGTGCAGTGGTGTGATCATTGCTCACTGCAGCCTCAATCTCCTGGGCTCAGGTGATCCTCCTGCCTCAGCCTCCAGAGTAGCTGGGACTACAGGCAGGCGCCACCATTCCTGGCTAATTT